TTTCTCGGCCAATATTCCTCAAGAACTCGTTGGCTTTGAGATGATTTGTGATTTGTGCGTTTAATCGAGTGCATTAAAATCAATTCTTTCAGCAGGCAAAAGCGTTTCATAAATCACTCGGTGTTAACATTGTTCTGAGGTTAAACTGAAGCTCTGCATCCATTCAGCGTGACACGAATCGATCGACGTTTTTCTTTGTGTTTTATGAAAATAACTCGCTGCTAGTTTCCCTCGTCCTTTAGCTTGTTTATTACTTATTTATTTATACTGTACGGCTTGTTTTCTCCATTTCTTGATCATGTTTGTCAAGCTATATTAGTTTATACTGAGACACTAAAACCTATTTCAGCTTTAATGCATTTATATATTTTAATGCAATACATCCTTCACATGCATATTTGGTTGTAGTAAATATCAGAGATTACTTTTTAATTTTACATTTTATTCACTTCTTAATGTTAGTGACTTTAAACTTCTTTTAGGGAGAATCACTTTCTAAATTTACACGAACATATACATTTAGAGGAAGGGCATGGGCATGGAAACACATGAGGGAAAACAAGGAACACATGGGGAGGAAAACAACAAAACGGGAACACAAGTCTGACAGTATTTGGTATTTATATTTAGACTTAAGCATTTATATTTAACCCTCAAGCATCCTTCGTATAACAGCCCTTAATCTGTCCTTCGTGGACAAATTTGGTCACGAAGGTCTCAGGTGTGATCCCAATTTTTTTTTTTTTTTTTTATAAATGTCATATCACCATCTTCGATAAAATAAAATCTATTAATTTATGCAATTTTCTGTGATTTTGGTGTTTTTACCTCTAAAAGTACCATCTTTTTTTATGTAAAATATGCTTATTTTAATGTTAAATTTAATATTTAAAGGGGTCATATGATGCTGCTAAAAAGAACATTATTTTGTGTATTTGGTGTAATGAAATGTGTTTATGCGGTTTAAGGTTAAAAAACACATTATTTTCCACATACTGTACATTATTGTTTCTCCTCTATGCCCCGCCTTTCTGAAACGCGTCGATTTTTACAAAACTCATCGGTCTGAAAAAGCGAGGTGTGCTATGATTGGCCAGCTAATCCAGTGCATTGTGATTGGCCGAATACCTCAAGCATGTGACGGAAATGTTACGCCCCTACCATACTGTAATG